AAAACAATAAATTTCCTTTATAAATTTCGTTTATCTTCGCCGTTATGCCGTTTTTATAAGCAAGATAACCCGACGTATAAATCAGTTTTTATGTCAGGACGGTAGACAAACAGTAATAATTCTATTTATGTTTACAGGGATAACTGAAGGAGACATTTAAGATTAGCTGACATCTTTTAGATTTTTGGACAATTAGCAAGGATTCTTGAAGTTTTTTCCGAAAATTAATTCATGCTATAATTCTTTCTTTGACTTTTCTCTGTTAGTAAATTATGGAGTTTAATACCCTAGTAGCAAGAGTATATTGCCTCGATAGCGGGTAGATAGCGTTTTTTCGATATAGGTATATCGAGTGGATAGCGTTTTTGTCCGGCGGTTGTATATCGAGTAGATGTCGAATTTTCGATATACTCGAAAAACGACGGCAGCATCACGGTTAGCCATTTACACGACCTTTTTCCCACGGAAATACCTCCGTTTTATACTAAATCGACCTATATTGTTTCTGTCCGCCCTCCTTAACCATTTACCGTAGTCTTAGTCTGCATGACAAACGTATAAAATAGCGCAAAGTACCCAAAACACTTCAAAGCCGCTTGAATTGGTAGGTATATATTGAGAAAACAAAAAAATAAATATGTACATTAATATTTGTAGTATCATTGGTTCATATTGGGGTAATCCACTGTTGAATTGGTCGAGCTCATTGTTCAAGATACCGGTGTTGGATCTACATTAAAGAGTAGTGTTTAATTGGTAATGGAGGAACACTTACCGCCGGTTTGGGTGTTGGTACTTATCTTTTGCACTTTTTGACAGTTTCCAGTGACAGTTTAAGTCGCTTTTTAATGGAGAACTCCACATCGGGAAGGGTGGCTTTACCGTCGCCATTCCAAATCCCTAAGACCTCTGTGTTTAGAGCAGTGATCAATATTTATTGAGAACGTACCTTTGATGACTTTATACGTCGCCGAATCGTGCAACAGAGCAATTGCGTACAGTGGCTTGTGAGACATTTACGAACGACCGTCGTTTCCGCACCGTTTCTTCAATTTCTATAGATATTTTGTCACCATATCGCTTAATTTGGCGTCTTCTCGCTCTCTCGGACTCTTCCTTAAACATAATGATAATAAGATGCAGAAAATAAGCACATAGATGGCAATGACAACAAAGAACAAGGAGGACGCAACACAATCACCTACCCCACGCTGTCTTCACGAGATAATGGCGTGCAGGCGTAAGCGCGCGATTTGGCAAAGCGCTTAACGTACGCCAACCAATTACAGACAAGAATGCATAGGCGGGGAAACCAATGAAATTACCAGGAGTGGTATATCGAAAAAACGCTATAGGAGTATATCGACTCGATATACCCTTGCTACTAGGGTAGAAAACGGACTTTTAGCGGCTGATAATTCCAGTCTTCTAAAATCAGGGGCTTGATTAAATAAGACATATTTTTCAGGAAGTAATTTTATGTACGAGCCCTACTTATTTTAATGGTTTACGGGCATGTATTTTAAACACCCTATTTAGTAAGGGGAAACCTTTTTGGTCAAATAATCTAATTTGCTTTTATCTAAACTCGTCAATAGGTCATTAGATCGATGGAGGGTACCGGGACCGTAGTGAATCCAGACCAGCCGTCCTACTAGGTTCGCGTAAAACGTTTTCTAAGTTATATCAACTTACAGTTGGCAATAATTGCAGGAGTTTGCAAATGTTGCACAACTTTCGGTGCCGAAATTGCAGAAACATTTTGTTTAATTATTTTAAAACAGACAGTGATTTTATCCTTTCTTTTCGTTTAATAGGTGCGAGTTCTGCAAATTGCATGAACATGATAGCAGAAAAACCAACGTAGGAGAGTGAAAATTATGGTCAAACAAAACGGGTAGCAATATAATAAAAGCCAGTCGAAATTAGGGAACAAGGAAACACACGCAATTTGCAAGCGAGTGACCCGAGTGAAACCATGCTGTCTTTTGAAAACACTAAAATCAAAAGCAACAGAGGAAATGTTTACTTGTAATACCAGGCCTTATTTAAGAGGTCCATTTAAGATTTCTTTTTATATGAAATGGTAATAAGCATATGTCACTCGTAGGGTGCGTATCACAAAATACGATGCTGGCTTGTAGCGTGGTTGGTTGTTCTGTAGCTCCGAAATATAAAGGACGCTTTTTAAACAAATTACATGCTGGGACAAGAATAAATTCTTTGAATTACCTTGTTCAGGAATCGATGAGAAGTTTTGAACCCCTTTTACGGTAGTATTTCTGTCGTACCACTGGCATTTTGTCTTGATTTTCTCTGAATGTTTTCATATCTGTTTTGAACTATGTGGTGGTTGCTAAACATAGAAGAATTTTTGGGTAGAGAGTAATGAAGAGCTGTGTTCAATGACACATTTTCGTCCATAAGCAGTAACAGAGTTTCATTATCTGTTGACTTTTTCAAAAATGAAAGATATTGTGCCCATTCTTTTGCACGTCAAATACATCCAAAGAAATGGTATGCCGACTGAAGGAGTGTATGGCTACAGCATGTTATTTCTGAGGTATTTGCCTTCCTCATTCAATGATATTCTGGCTTCAAAATGAGAAAATACCTAAACCGAAACCAGGATCTAGTCCGTAGGTACTATTCTATGACAAAGTGCACTGTCGATTAGTCAGACCCGCCGTCTTGTGTAGATAACTAGCATTTTTAATCTCCGTGTTGCTTAAATCAGCCCGTGTTATTGTGCATGATGCGTTACTGGTCTTGCTCAAAATCAACGTTCATTTTTTGTACGCTTAGGGTATCTCTGGGGCATTATCAGCCACTTTCCAGATTTGCTTCTTCGACTGCATATTAAAAATGGCCGCGTTAGTAGATTCAAATTAGTGTAAAACCCAGCATGCATGATAACATCGTTAATACACCCGTCTTTCAACCCGGTGATAATAGAAAACTGATGGAATTTCGGAAACTAGTGACATTTTTTACATACGAACAATACTGTGTCTTCAATACACAGCTTGTTGTATAACTTACGTTCTTTTGGCTTTTAGAACAGAATCTCACTTAGTAATCGTTGGATCGCTATTACTACAAATTGCATTAAATCGTCTCTAAGAGCGACCCGTTGGTTTGTTTTCATTTCAATACAATATAGCTGTCTTGATGCTTACTGGGGTTTTTCTGTTAGTTCTGAACTTCCTTGCATTATGCATCTTAAGGACTGGTGGAATATAAAGGTTGGTGGACTGATGGTAGAATAATTTGCGCCCTGTTTTAAGCAACCAATAAAATGCATTTCCATGTTGCACTTTGCTTGAGCCGTGCGTTTAACTGAATGTAGGCAGGGGGCGCAATGAGTTCTATTGCGATCTGAAAATGTCGTCAGAGCGAGTTTCGGTTTAAGGTGCAGGCTTCAAGCAACACTGAAGTACAAATAATGGGGTAAGTACGATAATAATCGTGACAGTCAATTTGCATGCAAGTGCTGTTTAAAAAAAAACAACAGAATCTCCGAAATGTCCAGACAACAGTCACATTTTGGACAGTGAAATGGATGAGTCGCGGATCCAAACGTGTCAGACCGCAGATATGCATAAAAGACGTTTTAGTCCTTTGTGAGGTCGTCCTTGCCATTAGAGCCGATTTCTTCGAATTCGTGCAGGGTTAGACAGATTTTAAGTAGAGTCCCATTTATTGCATTGCTCTACAATTTTATTTAATTTCCAGCCTACTGTTTTGGTCAAAAGGTAATTGGCCCCGGAGCGTTTAGATTTTTCGACGATCCTACGCTTCCTTGGGCTTTTCGATTCTGTCGTGTTTGCCTCTCAGTTTTTTTAAAATAAAATGCGACCTTTTGATAGATTAAATAATTTGACTGACCCATTCATTAACTCATTGATCATTTGTAACTGAATGGGTAATCTTGTGAAAATTTAAGGAAATCTCGGTTCTCGGCAAGAACTATGTGGCTCAGAGGGTTAGACCACTGCTTTTTACTCTAGAGTCAGAATCTCGCCAAAGTACACGTTTTTTACAATTGTGTCGGACATAGTTGGGCGACAATTTTGGGACCTACTTGAGAACACACAGCGTGTTATTGGAATGTTCCATCTACTACACTGACAAGGGGAGAACTTGATGAGTGGGGTCTTGAAGAGTGATGAGTTTATGCCACAAAATAACGTTTGCGATAAGTGGAGGTCAAACACTCGATCTGTCAAATTTAAGTCGACCCCTCGCCCGCACGCCTATTCCATTCTTGATGACTGCCATTCTGGTGCAGAAAAACACACTCCTCCATTTGAATAGTTTTGTGTCTTAGATAGACAGACTGGGAATTACTGTCTGCCAATATAAGAGGCATTCACTTTGTTCAACGTCAGTTAAACAGATGTAAACTTTGGTCTTACGGAGAAGGTAGTGAGCGTTCGCGAAACATTCCTCACGTTACTCACGTACGCAGAAGTTTGTTACCCATTTACATACCGACTTATTAGAAATTTCTACAGGCCGTATTGAGTGATATAAACTTGGTTTGCAATCAGTCAAATAAGGCTTTATCTTCAGTTTCTTGCGCAAGAGCTTTTAAATTGTTCAGCGGTGGGTTTGGTCTTCCCTAGCCTCAACGGACGTTCTGGTCACTGAGGGACTCAGTTTGCATTGCTTGTGCCAAATGAAAAATGGCACTATTAGATATAAATACAGTGAGTGGCGTTCGGGTATTTTAGCAAAAATGTCTACTGGAAATATGTCTCAGGCCTATTTTGCGGAGCTGCTTCTCTCCGGAAAATTTCCTATTCATTGTCACAGGGATGTCTCGTCCCGAAGTGTCATCCGGCACAGTTTTCTGGAATTCATCTGGACTCACTTGCTTTGGTCTAACTGTGGTAGTTGGCTGCAGTAGGTCCGCTGTGCTGCGTTAGGCCACTTAGACTTATAGGACTTTATAAGCCACGTCTTACCGAATTTCCTTCTTTTAGTGAGGCGCCAGGATGACGACAGAGACAAAGGAACCACATGAGAAGCCCTTCCCCTCCTGGTATCACCAGCTTCATGCGTTGAGTCGTGCCGCGGAGGACACCCGCAAGGAGGCCAATAAGATGCGACAGCGCGGTCGTGCCATACGAATCCAGGCCGATGGTCTTGCCAAGTAAAAATACAGTATTGTTGCTACTTAAAACGCAGAGTAGTGTCATTTTAATAAACCGAAATATTTGAAAAGTCTACCATCTCCGACCACTTGAATGCTAGACTGCAACGCCTAGGTCTGAGGGGTGTGATGGCACGCCTAGGTACGGCTCCGGCCGTGCCAGCCACCTGCGCCCTCCCCCACCTCCGGCCTTCTTGATTCTGTCGTGACACCGGGCGCAGGTGGAGGGTGAGAGTGCGGTAGATGCTGCGCAAGTCTTCTAGCACTTAAACTAATTCACGTGTAAGTCACGCGTCTGCCGCACCTTGCTGTGGAGCACACGGTAAACTCTGTCGAAACCAACGGTCAAACTTTCGGGTGAACTGCGGCCCACTACCAAATTATCGGTACCTGAACTCATGTTTTGTTGCATTATGCGGTGTTTCTTCTTACCCCGCTCTGAACATCATGACGGTGGTTCCAACGAGTTTCCCGGAGTTACCTTCGGACATTTTAAAGAAAATCGCCAAAAAATATATTTTCTGCGGAGCTGACCAGGACTGCCTCACAATAACTCAACAACTTGCCTACCGTTCAAATTTTCAAAATAAGCAATAAACTGATCAAACGGACTGTTAATTTTTTTTCAGCACATACATCCTTTTGGATCAATCACAGACGAGGCAAACTTGTCGTCATCCCCTAACAAGCCACTGCTGTTTGTCTTATTCCTTACTTGGTGAGGGGAGTTTAGAAAGATCAGTTATAGCAACATGTGACAACCAGATGATTGATCTCCTACGGTGTTTTCGGCTTGGGTTAAAAATAAAAGTCAGGACCAGGTGACTGCAACGTTGAAGCAGGCAAGCAGGGCAGGATTTAATTGTACCAAAAATTCGTGACGGTTCGTCAGCTGCGTCCTGTTGCTTCATGGCATAGATAACGAGTGTGAAGAATACAACAGATTTGAATTCGTGCAGAAAATCAACGCAGAAACAACAGGGTCATGGTTTTGGGTAAAGCCGGCTAATCAATAAAACTAGCAGCTCAACCACAGCATGGGAAGAATAATGGAAGAAAGCGTTAATGAGTAAAAAGAAAGGGAAGGTGAAAATCATGGAGCTAAAGGCTACCATGACAAGGTAAGACCAACCATGTGTTCCAATTGTTTACAAAGATCTGGTTCCACTCTTCGTATATAGGCTGCCTCCAGGTAAGGTGCCAACACTGGCCGTAACTTGGTCGTGTTAACCTGATGTTTCGCTAACTTCAAGAAGTAAGTAGCAAGACATGCAGACGGTGATAACGGTTTCTCATTCGCTTCGTATGCGCGCACTCTTACGACCAGTGAGAGTCGCCTGCCACGTGCAAGGTTAGTTCACCTTCAATAAAGCGGGTCGCAGTTTCGTCAGGGATTGATACGCTTGAAGAAATAAACATCGGTTGCACGAATGTCCTTTTATCGCGTCTCTCTCCCTGATTGAGTTTTTGCCGTTTTTAACGCCTCGACGCGCATAGCTCCAATATTCGTGACTTATTGGCTGACTTTTCGACAGGGAATGTGGTGGTCAGGTTTAACAACCGCCTTTAAAGAGCAGATATGCCGTTGTTAGACGTCGTGCCAAAACTGGGCTGATAACAGTCAGCCGAATCATCTATGATAGCCTTTTTTTATCTAAATGTGCACTAACCTTGCAGATTTTCTCAACTGGACATAAATAATCGACTGGCTGACCGTATAAACTGTATCCGTCTATGGTACGAACTGCTGGAGGAAACTCGAGCCAACCTCTGCGATGTTATGAAGAAGCTCAGTGAGAGTAAAACTCAAGCAGACCAATTCCTCGCTCGTCTTGCCGACGCAATCACAGTGAATGTGGAGTGCGTGACCTATCGGGACACTCGACGCGGTAAGGAATACGTTGAGGACCCGGTTCAGGATGAACTGCACAAGGCAAGCGCCTGTGTTCTTATGATTCCATTGACGCTACTGAACAAATGTAAGTAGCATAGTTTTAAACGCTGTAATAATTCTTTTAACATTCCTTGGATCGCAGGAGGCGCGAATGCAACTTGAAATACGAACGATGCTGCAGGCTTCGATCGACGACGCACTTGAACTTCTAAGAATCCTCACTGGGGATCTACATGACCTCACGATCCAAATGCGGGAAAAAGAAGAGGCTCGGGATCTGGATATTGAGCAGTACAACCGCAATGAAAAGTCAGGACAAATCGGCTTCAAGCCGTTCTGTATGAGGGAGGAGCAGGAGTAAGTTGAGTTTACACTCCAAAAACTTGTTTACAAAGATACTGAACGTTGGTGCGGGTCTTTCAAGGTTTAAATTAATTTCTAGCTATGAATGTGCCTACTTCAAGCACCGTTCCTTTCCATCTAGTTCAGATAGTGTATGAGTGGCTGACTACGATTCACCATGGTTCATAGTTGCACATCTGATTCAGGCAGCCTGTTCGTCGTCGATTATAGGCGTGAAAGTTGTGTTGGACCAACACTCGTTAATCAGGCTGTGTAGCCATGACCGCTCCCACACATGAGTCGGTGTGGTGGAACGCCCAGGCGCGGACTCACTTCGCGCCAGGCACTCGAGATGGCCGACCGACTCAGACAGTGGGCTCGTGTTTGGCAGAAAGACAGGAGAGTGAGGTCGATTCTTTAAGCACCTAACCCTACGGCATTCAGCGAATATTCCTAACTACAAACAATCTGATGTGCCTTTGTAGTGGCAATGAGTGGGTGGTCTGTGCGCTACCGTCACCAAGTCAAATACCAGATTAGCAGGAGAAGACGGAAGGCACCAGAATGAGGGGTTTATTGTGCACAGAACCCGGAGTTGTCCTCTCAGGCGGCAGTGGCCGCTGGTGAAGCCAGGGCTGGTGTTCACTGCGTCCAGTCATGTCTGAGAGTCCTTGAGATAGTGGTGGCAGCCGCTTGTGTAGGCTCTTGGGCCAAGCCCGAGTGGTGTCCAGTCAGTGTGTGTTGCATTTGCTGAGGGGTGGTGTCCCAGTTGCTTAGGTTGTGGTTACAAGGGGGAGGTGTAGCGGCCGAGGACGTCAATGGTAGTACATATCAATGTAACGAAACGCTGAGAAGAGATTCCGGCGGAGGTAGATCTGGACAGAACTGTTAACATCTCTTGATACTTATTCACACACAGTAGAAGTTGCATCAAGTAAGGGATATACAGTGGTGACCGATCTCATAAAATCTTAGCCAAAATTGCAGAATGCGTTTCGGATTAGGAAGGATTCCTTAAATTGGGTTCTTCTACTGATTATCATGCAGCATGACCCTATAAACTTTCGGATTCGCCAGGATGCCAGCTTTTGAATGCACTTCATTTTGACCTCATGCAGAAATCACACTCGGTAAAAAACGACTACTTATGAAGGATGCATTTATCCTATTGATTTTCCAGGGTCTTATAAATTCAAATATATTTTATAGAAAACATGCACAAAATATGCTTTCTTTTGTTCATTTAGAAGGAAATCACTTTGCCTTCATATTTTCTGCCTGAAGAAAGTGTGTATTTAGGTTTTAAAAAAGTTTCCCCATTCCCGAATAATTTTCAGCCTGATCTGCCATTGCATCGGCGTTTAGCAATTTCAGTCTACAAGGTGCATGCTTTCCGCATAAGGAAAATCATATATTCCCCTATGCCTTTAAAAAGATACCACATAGAGTTTGTGAAATTTGGCACTGGATCGGGACTGTGTTGTACATTCCATGAGGAGCATTAGTAAACGTACATGTGCGACCTTGCATGCATGGACATCGCACGGTCTTAAAAATCTCATAATTGGAAACATTTATAAAACCTAAATATACACTTTCCTCGCGCATAAACTATGAAGATAATGTGATTTCTTACCAAGTGAGCAAAAGGAATCATGTCTTGTTTATGTTTTCTGTAAAATATATTTGAATTTATAAGACCCCGGAAAATAAATAGGAGAAATGCGTGCTACTTAAGCAGTCATTTGTCATCGGGCGTGGTTTCTGTAGGAAGTCAGAAAGAAGTGCATTCAAAAACCGACATCCTGGAGAGTCCGAAATTTTATAGGGTTATGCTGCATGATAATCAGCATAAGAACCCAATTTAAGTCATCCTTTGTAATCGGAAACGCATTCTGGATTTTTGGCTAAGATTTCATGGGATCGGTCACGCACTGTAGTATAATATAGCGACGTGGGTATGGGAAATGTGTATAATAAATGTTAATGTACACGTAGAATGAAAAACTGCAAATAAATGACCTGTCTGAATGGATAGGTGACCCTGACATACTAGCTTAACAGCCGGTGGGGACGCAGCGCTGTGGGCAACTGCAGGGAAGGGCCGAGGGGGGAGCCGACGTTGAGTGAGGGAGAGGCGAGAGCGACGGTGCGTTGCGGGAGGGGGGTGTCGGCGGTAGCGAGAGGAAGGGACACCGGCCGTCTTCACCAGCACGCAGTTGCACCATCTCCATCCCAGGTCCGCTCCAAAAGTGCCACAGCACTCAAACAGCCCTGTCCAAGTAAAGGGACGCTACAGAAGTGCGTTCAAGAGGCCGCATGGGCAGCTGCGACTGTGCGGCCGCAGGCATGCCCGAGCTGTCGGTCGTGTGACTTCAGGTCAGCGCGTCTGGAACGGCTCACTGCAAAAGGGTGAATGACCTTGAGGCAGCGAATTTTCGAAGGCTCCTCATGGCTTCTATAGCACTCCCATTCAGTTGGGCCCCGAGCAACATTCGTGAAAAACACGTAAATATCTGTTGCGACGGGCTGTCTAGCGTTACCGGCCATTGCATCCGATCTCATCTCCGGTCTTCTTGACTTTTCCATGACACCGGGTTTATGTGTACAGTGAATGAGAGGGTGCGATAGATGCTGCGTAAGTCTACTATCACTATAAACTAATTCACAAGCAGCTCGCCGCACCTACACCCGCAATGCGGTGGGGCACTTTGTGAACATCATCGTAAGCGACGGTTAAACTGTTCTGCCGAACAGCGGAAGCGATTAATTGTCGTCAACTAGCCGTTACCGACCCCCCAACTCTCCCCCCTTCACCCGAAAAACGCCGTTGTCAGCTTCTTCCTAAGTGATCTAATGATTAGCTCACTTACGCTATCCATTTACAGCTGACCTGGAATTCAAACGTAGTCCTTTTCCACAAGCTTCAGCCTCTTCTTCCACAGCTGTTCCCAAGTCTACATCTAATTATTCTCTTTCGGGATGGACCAGAAATCACAAAACGCTGAGTGAAGACTTCCAGTGTGCTCAGGATAATAGCAAGTTACTTAGCGGGGGTTCTGATACAGATTATCCGCTGTCCGTCGACTTTCGATCATGAAACCCTCAAGTTCCCCAACACGATGCTACGTAAGATGCCTTCACTGCAATGCCATCCCCGAACAAATCACCGTGGCCCTTCCTGAGAAGTGGTCTACCCGTCCAGTTAGACGAACAAACGGTCACTTGTTATCCATTATTAGTGCCTTGCCTGGTATCATTGGAAATATGATGATAACTGGCTGACGAGGAGTCAGTCGATGTTAACTGAGTGCCCTTAAGCCCGCTTTGAAAGAGGTCATCATCAGAACGGAAAGAGTAATCTCGGGCCGATTCTTGAGCGGACCATCGGGCATATACAAGAACTAGACAAACAAACCTCTAAGCTATTAAAATCAATAAACCATCTTCAAACTACGCCACTGCCAATTGCTTTATTGATTCTGACGGAGGACACTAAACGCGGGATGTGTTGGGTCCTTCAGTCTTGCTGCGCAGCTGTTCATAGGCTGAGCCAAGTTCGATGCGTCGGTTAGGAGATTCCTAGCTGAAGATCCTACCACATGACTCCTCCGATTGTGGAAATTAGGGTAGAATTGGATGTCTGACATTGCATTTGACTGTTGGTAGCCGCGGAAGATAACAGATCTATCTCAGACGCTGCTTCGCATTCGCGTGGCTCGGTCCCATCTGTTCACCCAGTATGATTCGCCGTTCTTTTTGTGTGCTAATTTGCTACTTCTCTTAGAACTGAGGACGTGTGTTGCATTTATGTGTCATAACCGTCAAGGTCTGCGGACATCCCTTTCTTTACAAACATAATTCAGAGGAGCAGTCAGTTATTATCAGCTGCACCCCGTGTGCCAAATGGCGTTTGAAATATGTGGGTCAAACAGATAGAAAACTGGAAACAAAGATGGGAGAACATAAAACGGTTGTTGGATGGAAAGATCCGTTACCCCTTTTATTCTCTTAACATACGGTGTAAATAAACTGCCTCACATCGAGTTTACCCCGCCCGCAATAACGGTGTGATGGTTGCGCAAATTTGGTTTTATTTTCTTCTTAACTCTGCTTGAAAACTATAGTCGCCTGTTTTTTGGCAAACAAACTGTTGGAAGCCTACGGAGGCCGGTTTGCCGCATTTTTTCAATAGCAATGAAATGTCGGAAAGGTATGGTTAATTTTTGTAAAAAATACAGTTATGTGCAAGAGAAGTCAAAGCACTGGAAATTGTCCGCCGCACTTCCTACAGATCCCAGTTCTGACCGAAATTCGTTTAAGATCAGGGAGATTTCACAGCCAAAAATCCGGTACTGCTAATCGTCGTTGACTGTGTCATTGGGTTTTTGACATCAAATGAAAATCTGGTGTCAGCATTTCTCGTGTTTTTTTGGTCACCTACCTGACATAACCAGCGGAGGAAATCCAAATATTACCACGGATTATCCTAAATTGTATATCTTTTTTACTGACACACCTTTCCTATTTCCACCGTCAGTTCCATCGATCTACAAACGTGGGAAGATTTGGGAAGAGAGCTGGTAGCCAGGTGTCGCAATGACATGCTCAAAGGCATTGCAATGTATGAGCGTCTTTATGATGAAATGCACCAGGCAGCCAATCGCCTGAACGACCAATCAGATTCTGTCGCGGAGAAATTGCGTCGACGCATTTTTGAACAGAAGACTGCCATTCGAGAATTGGAGTATCAAAAGTCGGAGGTATGGTGGTGATTAAAATCTCGCACCCCCACGATCTTTTTATGATCGCGATTGCTAAATAAACCTGACAACAGTCCAAACGATTCTTTTCACTGTTCAGTTGGAAAAAGAACGCGAACGGATGCTGCACGACCTGAAGAGCTGGCATGAGTCGAAAAACGCCAAGATTGCTAGTCTCAAACTGTCGCAGACGAGAATGGAGTCCAGACATGATCGTCCGGGCATTGAGAACGACAGAGACGCACCTTACTATGGTCTTCGGGAAGAGAGCAAAACTCTGAATGACGTCATAGACGGACTCGATGAGCAAATCGGCAAAGGAAGGCAGGTCACCAACTTCGTGTATTGTTTTAAAAACATCTACTAACTGTTTGATAGTAACATTTATTTATCATTTCAGAGAACACTTAGCTTTCATTGAGGACCGCATCGCCTTGCTGTGCGAAGACATCCAGAGTAAGAAGTCGGCGCTGTTTGTGGACGAAAACGTTGTTGGAATTCGAAAACGTCTCGAGAAACCAATGGAGATCACTCATCCTGCCTGCGATATGGTGCCCAGTGGCCTACTGCGGCAGCAAGTGAAGTTCTACTGAGAAGATAGCGACACATGTCTGACATGAAGCGACATTACCTTCCACGGACAGGCAAAAAGGACTTCGTCAATTTCGCGAACTTAAGGATTAATGAGCAGTTAGAAGGAGATTTTGCGTGCGCAGTTCAGTATCTAAAGATCTGTAAAATAAAGGATCATCTCAAGCCAAGATGCCTTTTTCAAATGCTTTGCCTCCTCGAGTAAATTATTTTATGAATACATCTCACTGGAGCGAAATATGAACTGGTGTGAGCAATAAATTCAAGCAAATAACATTTCATGACGGTTGCTGCGCCGCTTAACTCCTGTTAGTTTAATGCTTTGTTGTGGCACAATCAGTCATGTAGTCAGCAGTTCAGTCTCGTCTTCGAGAAGGCTATACTGTTTCACTTCAAGACTGAGTGAAGTCTTCTGTTGCCGCTTCACGTGACTGATAAAGCATGATGACATTAAAAGTATATGCTCGCCTATTCTCCTGACAATCGAAAGACCTCTACTAGATGTTTAGCGAAACCACATGCAACCACGATAGGAGAGGCCAATTTCTTTTTGGCTCAAGGGACGCTCTAGTTTCGAAACCGGTAGTGGGACTATTATTAAAGTTGTTTTATTACTGGCACGGCTAGGCTTTTCCCGTCTGGTGATTTCACCACTCTGAAATCAAGATCAGGCTCAGAGGTTGACTATGTGGATTACCAGGCCACAAACGACTAACTGGCTATCATGTGTGTGAGAAAACATCTGTTCGCGTTTGGGTCCATCAAGTAACATGGTTTTCCTTGCGACTGACGGTCGTATAGTGCTGAACCTATAAGACATGAAACGGTTGTGTCTCGAACCGGAACAAGGGAACTCACTGAATAAAATTCGTCCTCATCTCATCTACTTCGTTATGCCTTCCTTGTATACTGTTTGATGCATTTCATATGCAGATGGTACTTTGAGAAGTTGGGTAGTACAATTATTAACTATTTGCCTACGTACAATCCAGTCTATTCTCCTGATATGTTGTCTTGAAACGATGGTGCTTCTCTAGTGTCCTTGGTACCGCAGTCGTGAGTAAGTCACACGTGTTTCCGCCACACGCGGAGGGTGTTTTCCGCATTCGTTAAGTTCAGCCGCCTCATTGGCTGATTGGTGTGACCTTGGCGCCTGCGTGTCTGAAGCTACGCCGGCCAATAACGATGCAGTTATGATCATCAAAGAACAGGACTCTTCGCCTCCATTTGCTATCTCTCTAAAACGGTTGCATTTCTGCATATTTCGGGTTTGTAAGGTCTCTACTGCCGGACATCACTTCTCACAAACGGGTGCACGGCTTGCTTTTCTGAATTTATTTTTGAAATCGCCATAAAAAGGTCGGAATCGGACAGTCCCCTGATGCCAATTATATTTTCTCTCAAAATACTCTAACTGCGTTGGTAGGCATCTCACTTATGGGTTTGTGTTACCTTGAAAATAATAGAGGGAACTCCGCAGTATGGGGGCTTTCGGTGAAGGTAGTTTGTCAACTCAGGATTTAATCACTAACTAAGCAGCACCTGGTACCCCATATATTTTTTGCTCTGTGTCTTCTAGAAAGAACTAAACGGTCGTTTGCTTCATGCAGTTGCCTTTTCAGGAATACAATTGTCTAGAAGGTAAAGATTTATCATAACAAAACACGCACTCCTTTCATCTACATCGACCCCCAAACACCATATCCAACACCCCCCAGTCGAGGTTGTCCCGAAGGTGATCAGCAGAAAACCTATTTTTGGTCAAAGTGATCCATCTACAGCGAAATATTTTAGCGTGTCAGGTGCCGGATTTATACCGTCAACCAAAGAAAAAAGACCCACAACCAGTTGCAATAAGAGGATTTAAGTTCTTCTTCCTTCTGAATAGGTTAAATTTCTCTATGCAACGTCAATAAAAGGGCGGCTGATCATTTAGTCAGAAAGCAGGTGTATCGATCATTTGCTCTTGCGTTGAACCATGCGCCTAGTTTATATTCTAATTTTGGTCGTAAATTTTGTCCTAAACCCAACCCTATGAGTTGGTGCAACAATAACACCAACCGTAACGCCCACCTGCAACAAACCAGAAATTCTAACTTGTTCCATTTGTTTGGACATGTTTAGACAACCCTAACCATCTTCTCCGTGGCACTTATCCATTGGTTGTTTTCCAACCTAACCATAACCTAGTTACTGTAGCCGACCGTTGACGAATAGACGAACAAGTTCACAATTCAACTTGACTTCAACTAATTCTACCTACTGAAAAGAAAAAGTAGCCAATAAAAGTATTTAAAACCACAGAGTTTTCAAAGTTGCTCCATACAAACTTGACAGCTGGTCTTTTACGACTTCGGCGACGTAGTTAACTGTTTGAAAGTCTCCTAAGCACTCACACAGAGCGTGCTAGCATTTCCAAATGAGCCAATTTTAAACTTTCACGTCTATCGCTGCCCACGTGGTCGCCCCCAGAGGACCCAAACGTAAACACCACCAACCATATGGCATTCTATTTCATAAGTTAAGGACATTCCCGTGGCGACCAGGCGCACTGTTGCGGAACTAGGTGTCGGAATTGTACCCTGGCCCAAAGCCACCATTCGTAGCAACTTCATGAAAATGTAGGACCTGTTAGATTCCGAGGAGCAATCTGGGGTACTGTATGGCCTTTTACACCAAACTGACCATAGACGCATGCTAGGAACGCGTATGCACGAACGTAAGCTGTCTGCACGACGAGGCGAAGAATTATCGCAAGCTGCCGACCTCACCTACGAAGTGGGTCATGGGTTTGACCTCTCGGTCACAAAGATAACGGTCCACGCTGAAAATAGAACAGGCTGAAAGTTGATTGAAGCCTGGGCCTCGGATGAGAACTCAGTCGATCGATTTATCGATCTGGCGCTAGCGTACAGAGTTATTCGCAATCACCTCCAGTACTGCGCCATCGATTGAGGGTAAGTTAGCACTGTTGTTGCTACTATCGCTGACCAGGGACTCCTGCGAAAGATTGAAAGCTTTGACAAGTTTTTTTACTTAACCGACTTTCCTGCGGATTACTCAGTACTATGCCCCTTCAGATAGGAAAAGATGTTTGTTAATTCGTACTTGTCTACCAATCAGTTTTATCAATCGTCACTACCTCCGCTGACTATCAACCGAAGAATAAATTGTAAATGCAACAGTTAAATAAAAAAAAAACATCTAAATACAATTCGAATTAGAAAATGCACTGTTATTAGGGCAGAATGTTGGTCGCGGTACTTCCGAAGGAGACAGTACTACATCGATCCTGACAGAGTAGGCAATGACAATTCTTTGCGGGGTGCTTTCCTAGGTGACAAAAGTAACACATGGGACGGAAGGGGAGACCTTTTCGGTCGTGAAGTGCTGTTAAACCCTGGGTGCTGAAACAGGCTAGCAGGCTTCACCGACGTTGAGGGCTCTTACTACCGATCTGGCGTGGCGGGCTCACTGGGTTTTGTTCTGCCTCTCCATCATTTGTCCAGAAAATTGGGACGCAGAGAGGATACTTAATAGGACGTGAAATAACAAGAAAACAACAGAATGCGTAAGAGAATTCCACAAATTAAGTGAAGATGGTGGTCACGCCGTTTACTTGGGAAGTCGAATGGTTTGCGTTAAATTTACTGTTCGTTTGTGGACTTTTTCAAGCGCATAGCCCAGTCCAACCCTAAGAATCGCGACGGTCTTGTCTGGATAGATTAAGCTAACGGTGCAACAGTTCGACTGTCGATCCCGACAATATCTACCGTATGTTACACAGCACGAGGTAAGAAGTACGGTGACTTGCGCGTGAAGTTGTTTGTAGTGGTAGTAGACTTTCGCAGCATCTACCGCACTCTCCCTTCCCAGTCGCCGCCTGGGTCCGGTGTCAAGATAGAGTCAAGAAGATCAGAGGCGGGGGAGGGTGCAGGTGGTACCACCGCCGCCGCCGCCGCCACCACCATCACCACC